AGAAGCAAGGTAGAAGAAAAAGGAAAGAGAGAGAAGAAGAAGAAGAAGAAAAAAGGAGACGAGAGAATCGAAAGCTAGACCAGTGTCCCAGTGTAGTTGGCATGGAGGGATAAAACGCGTGGTGGAGAGGAAATTGCGAGGAAAGAAAGGGGGAGAGAGAGAGAGGGAGAGGGAGAGGGAGAGGGAATAAATTCGGCATGAGGTAGAGGAGAGGAGGGAATTTTGAAGGGGGAACCGGCTTGGTCGGAGGGAGGAAGAAGAAGAGAAAGGAAGGAGGAGAGAAAGTGGAGGAGATCAACCGAACGATCGATCGTGGAGGGAAGGTAGATAAGGGGGGAAGCTAAATGCCAGTTAAAAGAAAGGCGAGGAAGGAGGGTTAGAGGTGGAAAAGTGGTGGCGATAGGAAGGAGGGAGGAAGGAGGCGGTGAGGAAGGGGAGGAATGGGTGCCGGGATGGGCAGGAGCGGCACGAGCGGCGGCTTCCTCGAGGCACTTCCCACGGGAACGCCGCTCCACGTGGCCATGCTGGGCCTCGACAGCGCCGGGAAAACCACCGCGTTGTATCGGCTCAAGTTCGACCAATACCTGAACACAGTGCCCACTATTGGCTTCAACTGCGAGAGAATCCGTGGTGGCATCGGGAAAGCGAAAGGTAACGCGAATATTCTATTCCAACTCCTCGATCTCGATTGTTAGAAATATTTTCTAAATTTTCTTTGCAGCTCGAGGCTGCTGACTCTCGGCCACCGTTTATTTATGATTGATTTTTTTTTTTTTAGAATATCGCTTCAACAGCTTTCCTTCGCCTCTTTCCTTTATAATCTTATAATATAATATCAAACAGTTAGATTTTCTTATCTCAAATTGGATCGTGTTCGAGTTTAAGTAAGCATAGAGTGTGGTAATGATAACGGGAGGGAAGCAGCGATGAAGAGATAGAGACGCAAGCAAGAGGTGTATATAAATAAGAATAATAAGAGACGGTGAATGTGAAAGCACGTTACGTTAACAGGAGTTAAGAAGGATTATAAAATTCGCTCTCGACGAAATAAGAAAGGTGAAAGACATCGAACGACATTTCACTCGTGACACTTGCCCCGAGAAACCGAGGATGCGTCTTGCCCGTTTGGCTTTACAAAATATCCGCACGAAAACGATATAGACTTTAATATTCAACAAATTTCCTTTCTTTATACATTTATATTAAAATATAAAAGTTTTCTACAGTTAATTATACGTCTGTGAAACGAGTTTTGAGTTAGCTTCTTAATAAGAAATTCACACAAAAACATATGGAAAATCGTCTCGAGTTGTCGAAAAACGAGTGCAAAGACAATACAAATATCATTTATTTTATTTTATTACACGCTTTATACATCGCGATAGAAGAGATATCGATCGAAGGCTTGAATTAAAATGGTTGGACGAATGATTTTTTGGCGAAGAGAGGAACAAAGATGACAGCGTGATCCAGATAGGAGCGCGATGGAAATATCGCAACGATTACGAGGTTGGGATAACGTTTAACGCGGAACCCATTTATTATTACAGTTATCGCGTGCGCGTCAACGTAATAAGTCGATGTCTGTTTCCTCCTTGCGGCACGAGTAGGTCTGCTCGTCCCAGAAACCTGGTATAATACCGGTAATTGCGGCGAGAGAGATGAAAATCGCGTCAAAGAACTTCCTCTTTCGTTTCGTTTTGCGTTTCGTATCCGTTCGTTTTATTCCAGAGAAAGTACCACTTTTTTTCTCGGTGAAAGACAAAAAAAAAAAAGAAAGAAAGAAAGAAATCACGACGATAGTTTCCCAAGTAGCAGGAAACCGTCCTGCGAGATCCATTTCCTCGGATTATAAAGCAGGATGTGAAAGCGACTAGGATGCGCGTTATATTCGGGATAACAGAGTTTCGCGAGACAAAAAAAAAAGAAAAGGAAAAGGAAAAAAACGTCGCTTTCCAACCTCTCTCAATTATTTCACGCAGCATTTTCCATCCGACGATCTATCCGTGAGAATAAATTTTTCAAATCCATTCTTCTTTTCAAATCCAGAGATACGAAACGAAACGTTTAAAAATTCCGATTAATTCTCTTCTAAATTCTAAACACCGCAGATTCCCACAGATTCCCTTTCGTATTTCGAACGAACGATTTATCGTTCATTGGGGCGAAGAAAGAGGAGAGAGAGAGAGAGAGAGAGAGAGAGAGAG